GGGGGACGTGGCCTGCGCGCGCGCGTGCGCACCGTGGGTGGTGGTGGTGGTGGTGGGGTGGTGGAGGGGGGCGTGCCAGGGGAAGATCCCGAAGGCGGAGGCGCGCCCCGCCCACCACGCCGCGTCTCCATCGCAACGCGCGCCAGGCCGATTCCCTCCTCCTCCTCCTCCGCTCCCCCCCATGGACTTACCTGGACTGTGGCTGGAAGGTGATCAGGACACACACACACACACACACACACACACACACACACACACACACACCCGTGCCCAGTGAGGGAGGTGTGGCACCAGTCATGCCAGCTTCCCCAGGCCCCCCCACCCCACCCCTGAGGCTCTCACCGACAGGACTGGGATCCCCAAGGTCTGGGATCAGGAAAACAAATCACTTTGTTGTTTGGTCACTCCTGGGTCTTGAACTCTGGGCCTGGGTGCTGTCCCTCAGCTCTTCAGCTCCAGGCGAGCGCTCTACCACTTGAGCCACACTTCTGGCTTTTTCTGCTTATGGGGTGCATGAGGAATCGAACCCAGGGCTTCATGCATGCAAGGCAAGCGCTCTACCACTGAGCCACCTTCCCAGCCTCTCTCCCTCTCCCTCTCTCTCTCTCTCTGCCCTGTCTGACTGCATAAACCTGGTAGGTTGCAAGACCCTTATAGGACAGGTGCGAATCTTCCATCTCTGAGGACTTACAACCCACACAAGCACTTTGCTAGAGCTGTCAAGATGAGAAACTGCCAGAATGGGCAGCTGGGCCCTCAAAGACACTCAGGGCTGGGCCAGCAGGGTATGGTTTCACCTGTGAGCATCAGCCACAATGGTGATCTGGTGCTCCAGGCAGATGGGTTGTACACTTGCACACATTTCCTGTGCCACAAGCAGGGGGTGTACGCACTGGGTCACTGACAGCCTCTTCCTGTCATGTGTGAAGTCACTTTTTCCTGCTTGTCAGAAGTTAGGCAGCTTCTCTCAGGAAATCATTGTCTGCAACTACTCTTTCCTCATTATCTTCTCCTCCCGGTTTACTTCCTTTAGCCCTGTTGGGGAATTCTAAGAGCCCCATATCAAGAGTTCAGGGTATGATTTAGGGCTTTCTATTGTGGAAGTGGCCAGCAGCCAGCTGCTAGGCTTTGATCCTACAGGGCAAATTCTTATCTACCTTTGGCAGGATTCCTGCAAGGCTTTATCTGGCCACATGGAGGCAGTAGCCTCCTCTGTAAGACACTTCGTTCAACTACTTTGCAACAGGTCTTAGTAGACTTGCTCACCTGGCCTTCCATCCTATTTGCCCTTCAATTCCAGTCTTACCTCCCACTAACTCATATTCCTGTTGTGAGCTTTGGTCTCTTTCTTACCTTCCTAAATCCAATGAATTCTCAGAGGCTCCTTAATTCTCCCTTTGTAAATTTCCAGAGAATATTTCTCTGTGGATCCTCTCCTTCAAGAAATTAAAACTTCAGGTGTTGGTGGCTCTTGCCTGTCATCCTGGCTATTCAGGAGACTGATATCTTGAGGACTGCCAGTTCGAAGCCAGCCTGGGCAGGAAAGTCTGTAACTCTTTATCGCCAATGAACCAACAGAAAACCCGAAGTGGTGGTGTGGCTCAAAGTGCCTTGAGCTGAAGAGCTCAGGGACAGTGCCTAGGCCCTGAGTTCAAGGTCCACATCTGACAAAAAGAAATAAAACAAAAAACACAAAAACACTTGGGCCGGGTGCTGGTGGCTCACACCTGTAATCCTAGCTACTCAGGAGGCTGAGATCTGAGGATCGCGGTTCAAAGCCAGCCCAGGCAGGAGAGACCGTGAGACTCCTATCTCCAATAAACCACCAGAAAACCGGAAGTGGCGCTGTGGCTCAAGTGGTAGAGCGCTCGCCTTGAGCTGAAGAGCTGAGGGACAGCACCCAGGCCCAGAGTTCAAGCCCCACGACGGGGGGAAAAAAAAAACACTTGGGGAGCTAATTCTGCAGAGACTAGAAACGCAGTGATACACTTCAAAGGTGAAGTGGCAAAGTGCCTGTTCTGTCTCACCCCAAATGCTCAGTGCCTCCTAGTTTCTGAATTATATTCTTGCCACCATTCAGCTTAAACAGTGTGCAGACAGTATCTTAAGTAAGTAACACTTTCTTCTTCAGTTTAAATTTTATTTTACAAAAAGAGAAATAAAGAAAAAAAAAACGATAGGCAGTTATACTGACTTACAATTGTTCTGTTTGCTTTTTTTTTTTTTCTTAAAAAAAGTGACATGAAACACAAGTAAAAATAAATACGTCATAGAAACAGCCAGTTGCCCAATCTCTGGGACAGAAGCGCCTGCCTGCCGAGAGAGGAGGGAAGCCCATGATCACACCAGCAGCTGGATCACCCAGCTACAGATGTTCCTCTAAACTAGGCGCAAGGTCCCAGGCCTCAGGGGCATCCTGAGGAAAGTCGGAAAACCAAAGCCAGATGCCAAGCCCTGGGGCCACTTACTCTTCCCCTCCCCTGTGGCAGCACTGTGGCCTTAGTGGTTATCCAAAGTAACCCCCTCCATCCATCTGGACCCTCTGCTCCCTCTGAAGAGGATACAAAGAAAACACACACACAAAACCTGTCTTGGGCAGACTTGGGGAGGGATTATTCTAGTGAGACACCCCCCCCCCAGCCCACCCTGAGTTAACATAACCAGATAACAGTCACTTTACACCACAGTGCACATGCGTACACCATGTACACAGTCTCACACATACTCAGTCAAACACAGCTGGGCTGAGCTCTCTTGGAAGGGGGCGGGGCGGGCGGGTTGGTTGTTCCTGGGACAGGTCACAGTAATAAGGTCCTCTCTTGTCTGATTAACATTCCAGTAGTGGTAGCAGAGAGTACCCAAACCTCCCCCCCCCCCCCAGCCGTCTGTAGTGCCGACTCTGCAGCTGGCCCAGCAATCTCTCTCTCCACCACACTAGATGACGATCAGACAGACCTGGGAGGGAGGGAAAAGCAGGCTCGGGTCCCTGAAGAGCAAAGAAGGTGTACACTTGTCTGCTCAGGAAATTCATCGTTGTAAGAACTCAGGTATTCATGAAAAGCCTAGGGCCGGCCGAGCTGGTGGCACAGAATAGACACTGAGGCAGGACAGAGGGTGTGGGGGGGGCACAGAAGGGTTGGTAGGAAGGGGAGCTGAGTCTGGAGGCAAGCAATGGACAGTGCAGCATTTTTACACAGGCTGTGAGGTGTTCATTTCCTGCAAAGTCAGCCGAGGGCCACAGGTGTTCTGTAGCTCTTTGGGGGGGAAAATTCAGCTTCTCTCGGGAGTTTTTTTTGGGGGGGAGGAAGGAGAGAGCAATTCAGTTGAGCTCACAGGACGCATGGCTCAGGGCATCTGAGTAATGAAAAGCGGGAAGTTCTACCAGAACACCAGAAGTGAGGAATGTAAGGCCTCCAAAAGACTCTCCCAAATGAGTGGAGGACTTCGTTCGTTTCAGAGCAAAGGATGCTAGGCTTAACCATACCGACCCAACTGGGAGGCTTGCTCTGCTGACTGCTAGCCACAGTGTCAACCACATGGTTGATATTTGGTTGTGTTTCCACCAATAAGCAAACACAGAACCCCCGTGGCTCTGCTTCACACTCCCAGAGTGGGAAATTTCATTTCCAATTTAAACCACAAATGTATCACCTACACACAAATTTCTAGGGAAGAGAGTTCCAAGGACCTGACAGTTATCCTTAAGCCAGGAGGTGACAGATTTGCTTAAGCAGCACAACTCAGCGGGGTGAGATCTTCAGAGGTAACAAAATGGGAAGAAGAAAAGCTGACCCTCCATGGCTCACCCGCACTTCCTTTCTTAAACTACTACTATGTTCCTGGCGAACAGTTTTTTTTTTTAGCCATGAAGAGATTAAGAAAGTGTTACTACAAAAAGGTAACCTGGAATCATTTGGTACTGTGTTCTCTAGGATAAGCATTTTCAGGACTCAAGAGATCCTTACAGACTTTTCATGGAAGACAATATTGAGGGAAAGTGCCTGGCTAGGCTGTCCAGGCCTGGGTGATAGGTAGAAGCCACCACCAACTGTTTTTTCTTTAGGGGAGGGTGTTTTGTTTTTTGGAGATAAGGTCTTATTATCTAAGCTTATCTGGCTTCAAACTCAAGATCGTCTCAGCTTCCCAACTACTGGGATGACAGGCATAGTACCATGAATGCCTGGCTTTGGCTTACCAAGTTATTTCTGATTAAAGAAACGATACAACCGAGTTCATACAACATAGTTCATAAGCTCTAAGACTTCCTGCTTCCCTTATACACATGCTCATGTTTGGTGTACACGCCCTTCTGCCCACTAGCACACACAGACAACAGAAAAAAAAAATCAGAAAGTGTTTTCAAGTTCACTTAAAAAAAAATCAAAACCATAGAACTGGTTGCATTTAAATTTCCCATGATCTCTTCCCTAACTCCTGAACATCATGAGAGAAAAACCAAGTGCCAGCCTTGGAGAATCATGGCCTCTACTGGGCAAAGACTCAGGTCCTGGAAACACTGGGTGGAGAGTCTTTAAGTTACTGCCTCTCAAAAGACCTGTGTGCTTTGCTATGGCCACCTGTCTCCTTCAGTAACTGATTCTGGTTCCCTACTGAAATGAGCTCTGGCTTCTCAAGACTGCTGTAGTGATTTCCTGTGAGTGAAATACCCCCTTTCCTCGATCTCTCTCCCCCCTCCCACACACATGCATGCTCGTGCGCGCACGCACACACACACACACGCACACACGGGTGCCCACACACACACATATACACACACACAGAGTCTCTGAGACCCCAGTATTCTAGAATAATCCAGTATTCTAGAGTGGATTCTGCAACTGGAGATCAAGACTAGTTTGCTCCTACTGCACCAGCCTCAAAGTTGAGCACTCCTGCTAAAACTTCACTATTTTCACAATCCATTCTTGCCTCTAACAAGAGAAAGCAACTGGTTGGAGCTGTGGTTTTAAAATTATGAAAATAATTTGCATAGCTAAATCGTACATCTAAGGCTTCTAAGAGTAGGAGAGTTAAGTGTCTAACAAGGTCCTTACGAAAACAGAGAAAGAAAGCGCCTTAAATTCCACTTTTGGTGTTAATAGTGCACAAACACATACTTACACGCGTGTGCGCACTCACGAGCGCACGCGCACACACACAAGCATAGATTCTACCAGCCATCTCCTCAGCTCTTCTCTGGGAGCAATTCCTCAAGAGTCTTCTAAGGCCCTCCAACAGAGGAAATGGGCTGGGCAGAAGAATCACAGGAGGCTGTGTGGCTCACCTAGGCTGGGAAGTGGATCTGCAGCTGCCCAGTCAGGCAGGAGTTGGGGCGGAGGAGATGGCAAGGCTTGATGGCCAAACAAGATCTGTTCATGAAGAACTGCCTAACAATGCTGGGGGGGGGGGGGGCGCCGGAAGAAAGGCAAGAAGACACAGGACACAGCACTAAGAGAAGACAGCCAGCATTCATGCTTAAGGACTAGATGCTTCTTCCCTGGTTATTGGATACAAGGAAGGGGGAGAATGACTAGGATAACTAGTGTGTTCTTGTTCTTTTAAGACATGGCCAGACTTAAGGCTCCTATGGGGAATAAGGGTTCCTCCATCGTGCCGCTTTCAAAGAAGATGGGAGAAACTGGAGACCAGGCCCGTGATTGATGATCACCTGACAGGCTAGGGATTTCATGACATTTCCTCACAGGAAATGAGCCCCTTAGCTCAACCCCGCAGGTGCCTATCCATAGCTTCACTATGCAATATAGAACAACTGGTGCTATCCATAGCTTCACTATGCAATATAGAACAACTGGTACCTGAACACAAGACACAGTTCCAATTGTGGAGGTCATTTCCTTCCCCAGTACACAGGTTCCACGATCCCAAGGTTTCATCTCTGTACAAGGAACTACCCAGTCTCTCGGGATTTCCTGATCTTCCGATAACAGTAATTTTAAGTCATTTAAGCAATTTCTAGATAGTCAAACCTAACTGTCTGTCTTCTGGTCAATTCATCATCTACCCAGAACTTTCCTCACCAACACCTATGGAGCCTGGGCTATCAGAAAATTTCCCTTTCTATCTCTTATTCTCCTTACCCCCCTTTAACCTCTCTCCCACCCAACACCCCTGCCCCCACCCCCCCCAATAGGACACATGGAAAAGTCCAAACAATAAATAATCGTCCATAAGAAATAAATTAACATGGAGCTCTCAAAACAGGGAAGGAAAAGAAGGGGGAAGGCTACCAGGAGAGTCAGGCAGCTGGTGAAGTGGATCTTTCCCAGCTACCTCGCTCACACCACAGAGCTTTCCTAAATTCCACTCTAAAGAGAGAGATCTGCTACTGGGGGGAAAAAAAGAGACAGAGACTGGTAATGCCCGTTTTCTCGCACGAGTCCCCACACATTCTAAGCTCTGAAAAACCAGGGGTGCCTTCTCTTTACCCAAGGAATACAAGGAAAACATATTATTCCCTCCTCCCCCCACCCCCATGGCTCTTCTCCTGGGCTCACCCTGATGTTGAACTAAACAGTTCCTATGACCCATCATACGCTTGAGTTTCCACTTAAAAAAGCTAGTTTTTGTTTAAGTTTCCTCCTTGGTCCCTCCCTCCCTCCCCTCCCCCCTCTCATCCCTTCTCTGCTACACACGTGTACATAGCATGCCCGCACCCACACGCACTCATGAACATCCACACCTGCTCTGCGGCCTTCCCATCCCTCTACTTCACATAGGATCTCAATCTCTTTCCCTGATCCTACCCTAATTCTCTCTCGCTCTCCCCCTCTCCCTCCCTCCTCAGTAAGGCAGCTCTCTCGGGAGAGAATGTTCCCCAAATAGGATGTGAGCTTTTTATACTCAGATGGGCAAGCTAGCAGACAGCAGAAGCAAGGGGGGGAAGAGGGAGGGAGGGAGGGAGGGAGGGAGGGAGAGAGGGAGGGAGGGAGACAGGCTTCCCGGCTCCTCTATCCCTCGTTTTTTTTAGGTCCCTGATTTCCTGCTCTTGTTGCTGTTTTTGTTTTATTTTGCATTTTTTTTCCTTTTGCCTCTCCTGTTAACACAGCAACACAGCCCTGCCACGCTGGCCAGCCGGGTCTAATGTATATTTTACCTTTTCCCCTGGACAGACAAGTACCCTATATTCTCAGAAAGCTCAAACTGCTGCCTTCCATCTTGGTGGGCAGCCTGTGAGGGGCGCCGATTGAGGTGTAGGTGTAGGGGTGTGTGTGGGGGGGTGGGTGGGGGCAAGGGGGTGAGGAGTCTCCCCAGCTATTTCCCAGTGACCTCTATCACATCGTCGTCCTTATCCTCATCATCGTTGGAACTGAACCCCACCTCGGCAACCTCGTGCGAGTCAAACGGAGGTACCTGGGACCGGAGAAGGCCAGCAGCTGGGTAGCCTGCCTGTGGGGACATATAGCCAGGGTAGACAGACATGCCCCGCGAGAGGTTGCTGGGCAAGACAGGGGAAGGAAAAGGCGCAAACATCCTTGGCTCGGACAGGAGTGGCTGTGAGAACGGGAGTGAGTAGCTGGGCAGGATCCCTGGCACGGAAGGGTTGAGCAGGAAGGAAGGGTTGCTGGCAGTGACTGAGGTAGCCGTGGAAGAGGAACTGACGGGGCCTGCCGGCACCAGAGGGTCAGTAGTCACTGGGAACACCAGGCGGGCGTCTGCCAGCAAATTGGACAGCTGGTAGTAGGATGGGGGACTGCCCATAAACAGGGAGTTCTCCCCAGCCTGGGAGGTGAAGGGAGGGGTGAGGTTATGGTTTAAGGAGACGGGCGGCATGGGAAACCCGCCAGAGATAGGATACCCGTGTTCGTACGGCTGCACGGGGGCTGGCAGATGGCCCTTCCTGGACCGCCGGCGGGCAGACTCCTGGGGGGCAGAGGGAGTGGCCAACTTTCGCTTGTGGCCCCTTAAGTCCAGCACTGGATGTCTGCTACCACAAGGCTGGCCAGTCACCAAGAGGGAACTGTTGAGGCAATGACCCCCAAGGCGTGGCTCAGTTCCAAGAGCCGGCCCGGACACAGTACTGTTGTCCACGAGTTGGGCCGGGGGGCCAGGCAGGGCGGCACTGATGCTTGGGGAGCTCTGACGGGATTCCCGGGCGGCGGCTACGTCGGCATACTGCTGGAGCTCACTGATGATCTCCGGGCTGTCAGGAGAGACGGGCCTGGCCAGCCCCTCGGGGTCAGGGGCTTTGGGTGAAGAGGCACTGTGTCTGCCGTTGCTTGTGGACGCAAGAGAAGGCCCCTGAGAACCTGAGGACAAAAACACAAAGAACTGAGAGCAGAATAGCAAAGGAGAGAAGGATGAGGGCTGCTTTTTCACTCAAAGGGGGGGATGAATCACGGGAGCCCCACTTGTACTTCAGGGCGTCTTGTTGGTGACCTGGAAATAAGAGGCTCGTGTACTTTCCTTGCTCAGGCTGATTTGAAACCACCATCCTCAGATCTCAGCCTCCTGAGCAGGAAAGAAATCCTTGGATCACAAACACGTCTATTCCCAAAAGCGCAGGCAACTTTTCTGCATGTCAGCTTCCCCTATCTCTAAAATTCTACCAAAGTGAATTCTATGATACAGTGAGAAAGAAACACTTAGGGGTTCATTCTTACTCTAGACTTCTTCTGGGAGAGAAAAGTAAAATTAAAAAATAGCCAATCCTGGCAGGGCGCCTGTGGCTCACGTCTGTCATCTTAGCTACTGAGGAGGCTGAGAATCTGAGGATCGTGGTTCAAAGCCAGCCTGGGCAGGAAAGGCTGCGAGACTCTTATCTCCAATTAACCAACAGAAAACTGGAAGTGGTGCTGTGGCTCAAGTGGTAGAGCGCTAGCCTTGAGCTGAAGAGCTGAGGGACAGTGCCCAGGCCCAGAGCTCAAGACCCACGAACGACAAAAGAAAAGAAAAAAACAACAAAAAAACTAGTATGTTAGCATGTTTAAAAAAGATATATATATATATATATATATATATATATATATATATATATATATAATGTAGTTTGTACACACAGTCATATGTACTTATACACGCAACCACACTCCTGTAACATGTGTCAAATATCTGACTAAAAATAAATGAGACCCAGGTCCCAAGTTCAAGTCTCACAACTGACAATAAACAAACAACAAACAGTAAACGAGGAAGCCAGGTGCTGATGGCTCATGCCTGTAATCTGAGGATCATGGTTCAAAGCTGGCTTGGGCAGGAAAGTCTGTGAGACTCTTCTCTCCAATGAACCACCAGAAGAACAGAAGTGGTACTGTGGCTCAAAGTGGTAGGAGTACTAGCCTTGAGCAAAAAAGCTCAGGGACAAAGTCCAGGCCTTGAGTTCAGGCTCCATGACCACACACACACACACACACACACACACACGCACACGCACACGCACACACGAAATGTACTTTTTACCTGATGCATGTAATAACTGTAACTCCTCTGTAGTCACCTTTATAACATTAAAAAATTTAAAAATAAGAACAGGGGGCTGGGAAGGTAGCTCAGCAGTAGAGTGCATGCCTTGCAAGCATGAGGCCCTGGGTTCGATTCCTCAGCACCACATAAACAGAAAAAGCCGGAAGTGGCTCTGTGGCTCCAGTGGTAGAGCGCTAGCCTTGAGCTGAAGAGCTGAGGGACAGTGCCCAGACCCAGAGTTCAGGCCCCATGACCGGCAAAAAAAGAAAAAGAAAAAGAAAAAAAAGAACAGCACCTAACGGCTAATGAAGGATATGGAAAAACAAAGCCTTACTCTTCACTTTACCCACTTTGGGTGTCTTTAGAATTGTGAACTATGTACTGATTTTCTATGGAAAAAGTCATGAGTTACAAACCAAATCACATTTGCATAAGTCAAAGCAAAGAAAAAGCCACCAGACCTGAGGCAGCTATCCGACCGTCTTCGGGGACCTTTGGTTTGCCCGTCGCCCGGACAGCAAAGATCCGCCCATCGCTGGTGCGGATGTACGTCCCTGAGGAGACAGGAAGCAGGCTGTTAGAAGTAGACATGCAACATAACTGACAAACTCCAGGCCTAGGCACCATGGGCTGAGAAACAGCAATGAGATTGGGTCTCAAACCCCTTCTCAAGGCTCCTGAAGTAGGGGCCTTGTTTAGCCAACATTTTTCACTCTAGCAATTTTATTTCCCTCTATCCAGGGGCCAGAAATGGGTGTGTGCACTTTGGAAACTACTACAATTGAAAATTGTGTCATGTTGCCCAGGTGTACTAATTCATTCACACAACACATTTCCTAGTCAGAGACTCCCACGGTGCTCTAAGCAAGTGTGTATAAGCAACATAATACCATTGTTCCAATTCTGCTCTCCCCAGATTCCCCCCAGGAACGCCAATTCCCTTATCACCCCCCCTTTTTTTTTGCCAGTCCTGGGGCTTGAACTCAGTGTGTGGGCACCGTCCATAAACTTCTTTTGCTTAGGGCTAGCACTCTGCCACTTGAGCCACAGCACTACTTCCACTTCTCTCTTTTTCTGTGGTGCTGAGGAATCAAACCTAGGGCCTCATGCATACTAGGCAAGCACTCGACCACTGAGCCACCTTCCCAGCCCCTAATTCCCTCCCTTTTATGGGGAAGACACTACTGGGATTTGAACTCAGGGCCTTACTTGCAAGGTAGGCATTCTCCTACTTGAACCATGTCCCCTGGCTCCCCAGTTTCCTTCTTCTAAGCCAATGACTGATAGCTTCTGAGATTAACTCAACTTTACTAAGCTCCTAAAAATGTTTTTTTCTTATGCTTCTACCAATCATGATTTTTTTTTTTTTAAATCCTCATGGGGCCTGAATCTGGGCCTGGGGGCTGTCCCTCAGCTCCTCAGCTCCAGGCGAGCGCTCTACCACTTGAGCCACACTTCTGGCTTTTTCTGCTTATGGGGTGCATGAGGAATCGAGCCCTGGGCCTCATGCATGCAAGGCAAGCGCTCTACCACTGAGCCACCTTCCCAGCCCAGGCTCTTCTTACCTTTTGTCCCCCGGATGATATGGATGCTCTCACCAGCATTAATTCTTGCCTGAACATCTGTGGAGCTGTTGAGCCCAGGAATAACAATATCTAGTGAGAGAAAACAATCTCACAATTAGATCACACAGAGTGTGACTGAAGGAGGCAAAGAAAATGCAATGTTTCACAGCCATCCTGAGTTCTCACTGGTTTCCTCCACACGCCTCTCTGTGGAGCAGAGAGTCAGAACGGAGGAGGGTGATAGAAGCAGAATCTTCTACAATCCTCTCAGATCTACAACGGGAATCTTTTTAGAAACGTGACCATTTGGGCCTTGCAGTTGTGTAGGGAAGATGGCAGCCACCTTTTCACACCTCACACCTAGCTGAGCTTTTTCTGTGTAGGTGGTGCTGAGGAACTGAACCCAGGGATTCATGTATGCTAGGCAAGCACTCTACCACACTAAGCTACCTCCCCAGCCCACTCACTTCTTGAGTGAACAAAGTCATGCCAAAAGGGAAAACACTCCCCAGAACAGAACCCAGGAGTTGCCAACCTGTTGTGGTGACCACCTTCTGCACGAGGACCCCTGCCCGTTGCAGGTAGTTGATGGGGAAGTTCATGGATGGATTTGTGCTAGAGGCGGAGCTTACGGCGCCCCCAAGTGGGACATGTCGGGGCATCATGGGGATGGGGGTGGATTGTACAGGGCGAACGCTGGCCACCGGCTTTTCGTCACCCTTCAGGGTTGGCTGCCTGTGGGAGAAAGAAAGCACACTTAAGAGTTGGCAGCACCACTTCAGAGCTACTCAAGATTGCCCCATTCTATACCTTTGGCTGCTGCTAAGAGAAGCCTGGGAGGAGCCGCCAGGTTCTGTGCTCAACTCAAGCACAGACCAAAGGCAGGAACTGAGACACAGTGACAGAGAGAGACAGGCTACAGGCTCTCAGAAGGTAACAGCAGTTGTCAATAGAATAACACTTTCCTGGAGAGGAAGGGCACTGTGTGTTGTTACAGCATTCGGGCCATCTACATCAAGAAATACCCTGTGTGTCCCATAGATATCTAGGGGCCTCCCTTTCCTTTTAGTGGCTGGTCTCTACACTGCTCATATGCTCAATAGTGCTAGAAACCTAACTCAAAAAAGTTTCGTTTTTGTTGGCCAGTCCTGGAGCTTGAACTCTGGGTCTGGACCATTGTCCCTGAGCTCTTCAGCTCTACCACTTGAGCCACACAGCCTCCCCTCCCGTTTTCTGGTGGTTAACTGGAGATAAGAGTCTCACCGAGGCTGGGCGCTGGTGGCTCCTGACTGTAATCCTAGCTACTCAGGAGGTTGAGATCTTAGGATCCCGGTTCAAAGCCATCCGGAACAGGAAAGACCATGAGACGCTTATCTCCAATAACCACTCAGAAAACGGAAGTGGTGCTGTGGCTCAAGTGGTAGAACACTAGCCTTGAGCTGAAGAGCTGAGGGACAGCGCCC